ATCGGATCGGATACGGAGCTCGCGAACGGACAGGATACGGATCAATCCGAATAATGTACTGCTATTTACTGAAAACGGTTCGCGTATGCGGTTCCTATTTCAACCGCGCGCGAACGCGAAGCGTCCGTAACGGACCGGTTCGCATTTTACCTGTGATAACATGTTTACTGGGGCTTAGAAAATTGTGTAGTTTGTAGTCGCTTAGCCTCAGTAAAACTAGCCGCCGCTCCAGTGCCACGTTTCAAGAACTTACTGAGGCTAAGGGACTTTTGTAGTTTGTAGTCGCTTAGCCTCAGTAAGCGCCCTTATTTGACAGAGTTTTACTGAGGCTAAGTAAGTTGTGTAGTTTGTAGTCGCTTAGCCTCAGTAAATCTCCTGAAAGAAAGCAAAATTTTACTTAGGCTAAGTAACTACAAACTACAAAACCTTCTAAGCCTCAGTACAACTTCGACTAGCCCTATTTCGGCTCATTTTTCTCTGTTTTCGATGATTTTAAGATCAAAATTTCGCAAGTTTTCTGTATTTTCTGATGAGAACCTTGTCTAAACGCAGTTTCTTCATTATCCCCAATAAATCGGTCAATTTTGTAAAAAATCTGCACTTCCATCGGGTTCCAATCCATATTCAGAACTTCTGGATGTCTTGAAAATGCGAATTTCAGCATTTCGAAATTCGAAAAATCGATTTCCAGCTGCTCTTTCTCGCTTCGTTGCTCTTGCAAAATTCGATATCCCGAATCTTTTTTGCTGAAAATCTTGATCGATTTTTCGCTTTCCACAAGATTCCTGTATTTTTTATCCGGACGAGTCTCCAGCGCTTTTTCGGCCTGTTGGCTTTTCAGAAAAATCGATAATTCCTTTAAATCCGCTTCTAGTTTATTCCATTTCGCTTGTGGAACGTCTTCTTCATCTCCATCGTCTTCATGACGGTATCTGGAGCTTCTGGGATTTCTAGAATTCTGATTTCTTTGCTTTTTTGATATAGAAGCCCGAAGCGCATCGTTCAAATCCCATTCCGCTTGTGCATTGAGTGGAATATCCCTGTTTTCAGCGCTGTGAATAGGTCTTTCTTCTTCTGGATTTCTTCGATTACTGGAGCTGGAAGGTCCGGCTGGTCCTTGACTTTGGGTCGTTGGAAAAACGCGGCCATACGATGGCGGATTGATTCGATTTCGATACACAATATCTTCATTTTCATCAATCATCTGGTTTAGGTAATCCATTTTTCTGGAAAACCCCTTTCTTTTATGAATTTTGTGTGAGAAAATTGGCTTTTAAAAATTAGAAATTCGCTGAGAAATCTCGCAACGACACTCCGAAATCCCGCATGCGCGCCCGGTCTATCGTAAATCGACACCGCATTTTTCGGAATTCAGAGTTTTTTTCAGTGATTTTCTCTCATTTTTCAAGGGATTTCGAAGCTTTTTCGCTGTAAAAGTTGGAGAATACGATTAAAAATAGTTTTGAATTGAAAAAAAATAGGTGGAAACATGAGAAACCATGTTTTCGGCCAGAAAAAAAGTCGAAAATTTTAAATATTTTTCTCCCATAATTTGGGCTTCTGACTGTTTTTTCTTTCGTTAAATCTGTTTTTCAAGCTCAAATCTCTTGTTTTTCAGCGTTTTTTCAGAAAAAATGGAGGATGATAAGGCGCCATCGACTTCAGAGCCTGTGTTCAAGGAACCGTCCCCAAAAAAGCCTAAACGACCAGCCCAGGACCTCCCAGAAGACCAACAACAGCCTAAAAAGGCTCAATTGAAGCACGAATCCGAATTCCTACGCTCAATTCCATCATCTTCTCAATACGAGAAGTCCTTCATGCATCGAGACACCATTTCCCATGTGATCGCCACCAAAACCGATTTTATCATCACTGCCAGCGTGGATGGTCATCTGAAGTTCTGGAAAAAGAAGCATTCAGAAGGCGTCGAGTTCGTCAAACACTTCCGGTGCCATTTGAGCGAATTCTCTCACATTTGTGCTAATATCGATGGAACACTGCTGGCGACAGTCTGTGAAGCGGATAAATCAGTAAAAGTGTTCGATATTGAGAATTTCGACATGATTAACATGATAAAACTCGATTTTCCGCCAAAAACCGCGATGTGGGTGCACCAAAGTAACGATCCGACTGCTCATCTTGCGATTGGCGCTGCGGATTCGGGAAAAGTGATTGTGGTCGATGGAAAGGCGTCGGCAACGCCGATTTGTGTTAAGGATAAGCTTCATTCGACACCCGTAAGAGCTATCGAGGTTTGTAAACCTTCAAAATAGTCGAAAAACGTAAAATTCGCTGAAAGTCAGGCAGATTTTCCATAAAAATAGAGAACAAAAATCGGAAAAATCCGAAAAATAGGAATTTTTTCCTCGATTTTTTGCAACATTTTTAGACCTTTTTCGGGTTTTCAGCTATTTTTGAAGACTCTTCTTCCATTTTTCCGAATTTTTTGTCTGAAATTTGATGGGATGGTGTTCAAAGTTACTGTAGGTTATTGTAGAAAACCTTTGTAGTTTGTAGTGTTCAAGGTTACTGTAGGTTATTGTAGAAAACCTTTGTAGTTTACAGCCGCGTCGCGCGGCGCAACGCGCCCAAGAGCCCTGAGAATTCAAATTTGCATGTACCCTGTTGCAACCACGTGAAAGCTGAAAAGGTCTAAAATTTTTGCAAAAAAATCAAAGTAAAAATCCATTTTTCTTTCGAAAAATTGTGAAAAATCACAATTTTTTGGGAATTTTCAGTTTTTTTTCAGAATTTTTCAGGTTTTTTTGAAGTATCTAGAAGGAAAATCAACAAAAATCTGAAAAAAAAACGCTGAAAGGGACTTCGAAGGGCTCTCATACTGTTTTTCGATGCGTTTTTCTAGTCTCAAAAGTTGTTTCTTCATCTTAATGCAAAAAAGTCGAAAAATTCACTGAAAATAACCCAGTTTTTTCCTTTAAAATCACGGAAATGTCGAAAAAGAGCCTGACATTCCCTAAAAACCATCCCTGTTCTTTCAGTACAGCCAAAGTCTCGATATGATTGTCTCCATCGACGAATCCGGAATCATCGAATGCTGGAGTGGAGATCGTGGTGATTTCGAGTTTCCCCAATCCAAGCTCTCCTGGGAATATAAGCTGGAGACCGATTTGTACGATTTCGTAAAAGCCAAAACGATTCCAGTGTGCGCTGCTTTCGACCCATCCGGAATAAAACTCGCCACATTCGCTGAAGATCGTAAAGTTCGAGTTTTCAATGTCAAAACCGGAAAATTGATAGTGACGATTGACGAAACGACTCACAGATATCAAATCGAGGCAAAGGAGAACAAGAATTATGGGCTACAACACATGGAATGGTCTAGACGACTAGCAGCTGAGAAAGAGATGGATAAGGATAAGAAAAACTCTCTGAAATACTCAAAACTATGTTTCGATGAATCTGGAAATTTCCTACTGTATCCCACGCCGATTGGTGTCAAAGTCTACAATCTGTACACAAAAGAGGTCTCCCGAACCATCGGAAGAGACGAATCGATTCGATTTGTGGCTGTTTCCCTTTGCAATGCCCTCCCGGACATTCGATCCAAACTTCAAGGCGCTGCGATCACTTTGGAGACGGCGGCAGCTGATAATCCGACGCTTAACAAGAAAACCGACCCGGATCCGTTGATGGTTTGCTGTGCACTTCGCAAGAATCGATTCTATCTCTTCACGAATACGGAACCATTCAATGTGGAGGATGACGAGGGAAATCCGTCGGTGTCGGGAAGAGATGTGTTCAATGAGCGACCGAAGAAGGAGGACTTATTGACTGCGTTGGATGTAAGCCTTTTTTTGAGCCAAAGATCATCTAAAACGGTTGAAAATGAGCCGAGATACGGCAATTTGAAGTTTTACTGAGGCTTAGAAATTCTTGTAGTTTGTAGTTTCTAAGCCTCAGTAAAACAACGCGCGTTTCCTGAGTGCTTCAAAGCTATTACTGAGGCTAGCGTAAATTTTCTAGTTTGTAGTCACTAGCCTCAGTAACTTTCCTCAAGCGAAACTGGAATTTCACTGAGGCTAAGAGACTACAAACTTCAAAGTGTTTCAAGCCTCAGTAAAAGCTTTTCTCTTGACTGGTTTTCGTTCGTTTTCAACGGTTTTTACAGCAAAATTTTGGAAATTTTAGTAAAATTTGGTTTTGAAAATAAAGTAACTACAAACTACAATAAAATCCAGAAATTTTGAGCCAGAAATGACTAAAAACGCTTGAAAATAAGCCGAGATAGAAAGCGCTGAAGTTTTTACTGAGGCTTAGGAGATTTTTGTAGTTTGCAGTTTCTAAGCCTCAGTAAAATCTTGAAACTGAAATGATTCGTTTTAAAATGTTTACTGAGGCTAGGAAGGTTTTCTAGTTTGTAGGCACTTAGCCTCAGTAAAACATAAAGCGTGTTTCCTGTGGCTAAGTGACTACAAACTACGAAACCTTATAAGCCTCAGTAAAACTTTCAACTAGCTTTATTTTGGCTAATTTTGCTCCATTTTCGACGGTTTCTCGGTCAAAATTTCGCGAAATTTCTGTACAATCTTGTTTCTTAAGTGTAGTTTGCAGTGTTGGCTTCATGCTTCATTAAAAAATCACGCGCTTTTCCTGGAAAAAAAATCCCGAATTTTCAGACGGAAGGAGGAGAGAAGGTGCTGAACAAGGAAGCCGTCATTCACACCTCATTTGGAGACATCACAATTCGTTTATTCGGTGACGAATGCCCGAAAACCGTCGAGAACTTCTGTACGCACTCTCGTCGTGGATACTACAACGGTCTGACGTTCCATCGTGTCATCAAATCGTTTATGATTCAAACTGGAGATCCGACTGGCAAAGGAACAGGCGGAGAATCGATTTGGGGTGAAGATTTTGAGGACGAATTCCATCCACGTCTCCGGCACGACAAGCCGTTCAAAGTGTCGATGGCGAATGCGGGCGGTGGAAATACCAATGGATCACAGTTCTTTATTACTGTGTGTCCAGCTGATTGGTTGGATGGAAAGAATACCTTGTTTGGAGAGGTATGATTTTTTAAAAATAATCATTGAAACCGGAAAAATAGCAATTATGGATCAATTTATTGGTCAAATTGGCTGAAAATTGCCTAAAAACTATTTTTTGCACTTTTTCATATCGAATTTTGAATTTCTCGCGTTTGAAAACCCCGAAAAAGAAAATTTAAAACAAATTGCCACCGGTGGGGGTCGAACCAATAACCCCTAGATCCAAATTTTTCGTTGAAAATCCCACTCGGCCATCCGAGCACTTCATTCTAAACACCTGTTTTAAGCCATTTTGGGCTCTTTCGATTTCCACTTTTCCGATTTTTCTGCAAAAATTGTTTTAAAAAATTTACGGAGGCTAAGAAAATTGTGTAGTTTGTAGTCTCTTAGCCTCAAGAAAACTCAAGTCCACTGTATCTCGGCTCATTTTTATCCGTTTTTGATGATTTTTGGCTCAAAAGTTCTAGAATTTTAAGTATTAAAAAATTCAGAAAACCAGTAATTCGAAAAATATTGCAAGATTGAAAATTTCTACAGTAATCTACAGTAATTTCAAATCCCTCAATTTTTTAGGTAACCGCCGGAATGAGTGTGGTCCAACGCGTCAATCAGGTGCCGACATTCGAGCGAAGTGGCCGTCCCCGTGAAACGATTCAAATCATGTCAATTAGTTTGAAGTGATATCTTCATTGACTTTTCCAGTGATTATTTCTGTCGATTCTCATTTTTCCTACCATTTTCCCCCATTTTGTATTGTTTCTCATTCAAAAATTCAGTTAATTTATTTAAATTCTCTTTTGTAGTCATTTTTCAAATTTTCAATTTTACAGAAAAAAAGGAAAACAATAGAAATTATCATAGTGTATAAGGGGTTACAAGATAATTTCCACCGTTTTTACCATTACCATTACCACCATTACCATTTCTATCATTAGAGTATTTTCCTGTACCATTATGTCTGCTAGGCGTCGCATAGACCAGAATAGTCCGCCCATCTCTCTGCATTTTACAAACGTAGTCCGAATAGAAATGGATTTTTGAAGCGAAATCGCCGACGGCGGCGACCGCTTCGAAATCCGTGCCAAAAACGTCTTCAGTGACATCCGCAAGCATTGTGGCCATTTTTTGGAGATTACAGGCTTTGGATTCTTTCATTTTTTGAGTAGCGTTATGGATTACCTTCTCCAGATGAAGGTTGCAGCACATGTAGCCTGAAAATTTGGGAAATTTGACCCAAAATCATAAAAAAACGGTTGAAAATGAGCCGAGGTACGGCGCTTTGAAGTTTTTACTGAGGCTTAGGAATTATTGTAGTTTGTAGTCTCGGGAAACGCGCATGCTGTTTTCCTGAGGCTAAGCGACTACAAACTAGAAAACCTTGTCAGCCTCCGTGAAAACTTTGAGAAGCCTCAGGGAACGTTCTTTGTCTTACTCAGGCTACAAACTACAAAACTTGCAAAGCCTCAGTAAAGTTGTGAGTGAAAACTTCAAATCGCTGTATCTCGGCTCATTTTCAACCGTTTTTTAATGGTTTTTAGCTAAAAATTTCTGGAATTTTTTGTAGTTTGCAGTACTCTACTCACCACTGGTTTCTGTATAACACTGTCTCAGGGGGTATTTGCCTGGCCATGGATACTCATCAGCGTACTCGTCAGCCGGTTGTTTGTAACCATTTTGATAGGAATTCGTATTATATCGACCTTGTTCTGGCTGATTTCCTTGACGGCCTTGTTCCTCGGTATAGGATGCACGGTTTTTACGGAGTTTGGATTGATCGAATAGTTTCGAGAAGTCGATCTGAAGAATTATTTGAAAAATTCTAGAAATTTTAAAGCAAAAATCATCGAAAACGGTTGAAAATGAGCCGAGATACATCGCTTTGAAGTTTTTACTGAGGCTAAGAGATGTTTGTGGTTTGTAGTCTCTTAGCCTCAGTAAAAACTTCAAATCGCTGTATCTCTATTCATCTTCAACCATTTTTGGTGATTTTTGGCTCAAAATTTCCGAAATTCTTTGGAATTTTAATTTTTCGAAAATTCTAGAATCCCGAACATCAACTTTCCACTCACATTTTCCGAAACGTTTCTTTGTGGAATAACAAATGGCTCTCTGATATAAATGGGTCGACCGAAAATGTAGACTTTTGAGATTGGGGTGTTGTTTGGAGCGGCACTGTACTTCTGAAACAAAAAAACAATGTATGAGCCAATCCGTTCACTTTGAGCTCAATTATCTCAATTCCTGTGTAAGATATCAGAATTTTGTTCACAGATAAATTGTTCATCACAATATCACAAACATTTTATCAGTTGACACATTTTAAAAATCTTTTGCAGGAATCGAGATATTTGGGATCAAAGTTTGAAGCAAATACAATACTCCATGTTTTTGCTAAAATTATAAAAGTTTACGAAAGTGTTTCAGAATTTTTCAATGTATTTGAAAATGTCAGAATATATCAAACAAGACTAGAGTTTCATTTTTGTAGTTGACAATTTTTTCAAAAAATTAGGCCCTGAGGATATACGCCACGTGGAAGTGGTCCTAGCGCGCCACCCCCTTTTTAGGTGGCGGAGCGAGCAGCCTCCATGGCGCTCTCACTTCCACGTGGCATATCTCCTTAGGGCCTGATTTTCGGGAAAAGTTGCCAACTACAAAAATGAAGCTCTAGTTTTGTTCAGTGCGTTTCGAAACTTTCATAAAAATTTGTTCAGTTTGAAGTACTTTCCAATAGCTTCAAAATTTTCGTTTTCAGCTGTTCTTCAGCAGCCTGAAATCGAAAAAAACATATTCGGATAAGAAGTTACATTCTTAGAACTTTCTCAATTTGTCTGAAAGTTTTAGATTACACTAAACAAGTTATGGGCTTCATTTTCGTAGTTGACTATGTTTTTTGAAAATTAAGTCCTGAAGAGATATGCCACTTGGAAGTAAGGGCGCCTTGGCGGCTGCGCGCGCAGTCACATAAAAGGGGTGGCGCGCTAGGCCCTCTTCCACCTCCCCAGGGCCTAATTTTTCAAAAAAGTTGTCAACTACGAGAATTAAGCTCTAGTTTTGTTTAGTATATTTCGAAAATTTCAAACAAATTAAAAAAGTTTGAAATACTTTTGTAATTGTTCCAAGATTTTGGTTTTTCCGCGAACATCGAAAAGAAATAGCATTTTTTGGGTTCAGAATTGACTAGAACTTATTCAATGTGTCTGGAAATTTCAGAATATACTCAAAAAAACGAGGTGTTCATTTTTGTAGTTGACAATTTTTCCTGAAAATTAGGTCCCGAGGAGACACGTGGAAGTGCCCCTCTTTTTTGACGACTGCTCCCTCGCTAGGGTGAGCGCGCCTCAAAGTACGTCCTTTTTTATATGGCATATCTCCTCAGGACCTAATTTTTCGAAAAAGTTGTCAACTAAAAAAATGAAGCTCTAGTTTTGTTTAGTATATTCTGGAAATTTCAATAAAATCGAAAAAGTTTGAAGTACTTTTGTAGTCGACTGAAAATACAAACCTCCTCCCCAGCGCTATCCACATGTGTAACCGGTATGGAAACCACCAAATAAACAGTGGAAATCAGAAAAATTGAGGAAATCACTAGAATATTTTCAGCGAACGCCGTCGCGGCCATTTTTGAGGAGGGAAATGAATCTGAGACGGGCGGGGGGTACACTGTTTTTGGAAACAAAGAGGGAAAAATGGGTGAAACGGGTAGATTATCCACCTCCTTGGGATTCCTAATCCCCCGCTGCCAATGGGGAAAAAAGTAGCAAAGAAAACCAGATTTTACGAAAAGTATGATACATTTTGTGACATTTTTTTGAGACAAAAACAGAAACTGCTGGAGATAGAGACGTTTTTTGCTGACTGAAGATGTTCTACAATAATTGTAGATTGTAGTAATTGATTCTGCTAGAGTTTAGTTTTGAAACATTTTTTGGGAAGTCTGGGAATCTGAAAATTGGATAATTTTAATAAAAATTTTGAATCGAATTCCAGATGTTCAAATTGACTATAATTAACCTAATAATTTTTCAAATTACTCAACTTTTTCGAATTTTCTGCGTTTCCTCATTTTTAAATAATTAAAATGTTCAAAAAAGCATGAAAAACCGTCGAAAACAAGCTGTGTTAGCGCACTTTGAAGTTTTTACTGAGGCTAACAGCAATTTGTAGTTTGTAGTTTTTCTGCCTCAGGAAACGCGCATGATTTTTTTCCTGAGGCTAAGTGGCTACAAACTAGAAAAACATGTTAGCCTCAATAAAAACTTTAAAACGCTCTAACTCCGCTTGTTCTGGACCGTATTTCATGATTTTTGGCTCAAAATTTCTAGTTTTTCAAGCAGTAGTTTACAAGTTTTCAATCTCCTGCAAAATTCAGATTTGAAAAATATCGTGTTTTTGAGAAACCAAGTTTCCAAGATGGTTTCTCAAAAAACCTTGAATTTCTTAATAACTACAAACTACAAATATCTTCATTAGTGAAATTTTTTTTTAAACCTTCGAAAACGGTTGAGAACAAGCCGATATACAACGCTTTGAAGGTTTTACTGAGGCTAGGTGACTATAAACTACAAAATGTTTTAAGCCTCAGTAAATTTGTGAGTGAAAATTTCAAATCGTTGTATTTCTGCTCATTTTCAATCCTTTTTTAATGATTTTTAGCTCAAAATTCTAGAATACAAACTAAAAAAGCTTCTAAGCCTCAGTACAATCTTCAAAGAGCTATAACTCGGTTCATTCTCAACCGTTTTCGATGATTTTTTGTCTCAAAACATCTGTAATTTTGACTTCAAACTACAGAACATTTTTATTATATGGCGGGAAGTGTGAAATTGAACAGCACAAAATCGTGATAAAACATTTTGACAAGCAATTCCATGAGATACGGACTAGACCTGAGACGTTTTTCGATGAATGACGTGGCTTTTGAATCTACAGTACTATGGGCGGTTCGGCCAGATGATAAGGCGGTTTGGATATAAGTCAGAGAGGATTCAGGAACAGAATGTTCTCGAAAAATGGGAAATAATTTTGAGGTAATTGAAAAATTATGAGAGGAAGAATAAGGGATGAATGTAAAGTTTTGAAAATATTGATGAAGATTGCACCGCCTGAAATTTAATGTAGTCTTTGTAGTTTTTGTAGTCTTTGTAGTCTCTTACCAGCTTTGCGGGAAAAAATGCCGGTCTTCGTAGGTTTTCTGGAAGCTTCCACGCTCGATTTGACCCCACATTCTCGCTAATTCGGTCTCCATGAAACAGGTGAGGTTCCGAGCGCAGCCATTGCAATATTTTTGAATTACTGGTTTTCTGAGAGAAATTTTGAGCCAAAAATCATCAAAAACGGTTGAAAATGAGCCGAGTTACAGCGATTTTAAATTTTCGCTCACAACTTTACTGAGGCTTAGAACATTTTGTAGTTTGTAGTCTCTAAGCCTCAGTGAAACATAAGGCGTGTTTCCTGCAAAGATGGCTCTTTTAAGTGTTCACTGAGGCTAGCAAGGTTTTTTAGTTTGTAGGCACTAACTACAGATTAATATTAGCCTTAGTGGATTCCAGTTTTCACTGAGGCTAATAATAACTTGTAGTTTGTAGCGACTTAGCCTCAGTAAACGCGCCTGCGCATGCGCGTTTCCGCATGCTGTTTTCCTGAGGCTATGTGACTACAAACTAGAAAACCTCGTTAGCCTCAGTAAAAACTACAAAGCGCTGTATCTCAGCTCATTTTCCACTGTTTTTAATGATTTTTTGCTCAAAATGTTTTGTAGTTTGTACCTATAACACTTATCAACAAATCCAGACACAAATCGCTCGAATGGGTGTCGAACCATCATGATATGAGTCCAGTTGTTTGGAGTGGGAAGCTAAAAATATTGATTTTTGAATTTCCAGAAAAACCATTGCTCACTTTGAATTTCTTCTGAATACCTCCCAAATTTCGAAACTCATTTTTAAACATACAAAATCGTATAATTTTCCAATCCTTTAATAATTCCCGATGATTCCCAATAAACTTTTTTTCGTCCCTCAAATAGCAGAACATTGATGTCATTACAGTACTCATGGATTTTTGAACAACACATGTGGATAGTTGATAGCGAGGGGCGGTCTAAAAAATAGATCAGATTTGAAAATAAAGAAAAAATATTTTTGACTTTTTTTTCGAAAATTTTTCCATTTTTTGAAAATTAACTTCAGGGCAAAGTTTCAGAAAAATTGCCAAAAGATTTGAGCCAAAAACCATCAGAAACTGTTGAGAATAAAGCGAGTTACAGCGTTTTAAAGTTTTTACCGAGGCTAAGTGACTACAAACTAGAACGCTTTCTAAGCCTCAGTAAAAACTTTAAAGTGCTGTATTTCAGCTTGTTGTTAACTGTTTTTGATGATTTTTGGCTCAAAGTTTCTGGAATTTTGCGCTGAGTATCATGGGTTTAAAAAGTTTGTAGTTTGTAGTCATTTTTTAATTTTTTAAACATTCCAGAAGTTCAAAAACAGGTTCTTCTTAAACATAGTATTTCACAAATTTGATTTTTAGAAAGGCCGAAAATTACAAACTACAAACTACAAAAAAAAAGATAGAAATTTTGAGCCAAAAACCATCAAAAACTGTTGAGAATAAAGCGAGTTACCGTGCTCTGAAGATTTTCCTGAGGATAAGCGACTACAAACTACAAAAAAAGTGTAAGCCTCAGTAAAAACTTCAAATCGCTGTAACTCGGCTCATTCTCAACCGTTTTTCGTTATTTCTGGCTCAAAATTTATAGATTTTTTGTAGTTTGTAGTATGAACTGTCAACTTTTCAAAAATTTTGAAAAAAATTACAATTATTTTAAATTTAATAAAATTTCTACCCGAATTTCCCCCTCAAAATCCTTGAGGCTTGGAAGACATGGAGATGGATTCTGAGTGCAAAGTTCGACAGCTGACAAGTTGGATTTTCGACGTGGAAGAACCTAAATAGCCGAGTTTTTTCTAGGCCACAAAAAACGAGGCCACCAAATTCCTCACATTCAAATTCACCCGAATCAAATCATCAATTTTGTTGAGTCGTTTCTCGGATTCTCGTTTTTCCCAATTTAGTAATTTATAGAGTTTCGGGGTTTTTGGGATTTTTGTAGAACTTTTTGTGGTAGAAAAAATAATAATTTCAGTGAAATTTGAAATTTTCGAAAATTCAAATTTTCGAAAATCCGAATAAAATAGACAAAATATGGCGAAAATAGTGAAAAAGGAGATAAATCGAAGTTGTAATCTTCGGTTTGGTAACATTGAACCGGAAAAAAAATGATGTGATTTTTACATTTTTTCGATGATGGACAGACACCCGAAAAAAGGGATTAACCGGAGATTTACTGTTATTTTTTACTCTTTTTTTGAAACTGTTCTTTAAAAATTGAAATTGTTATGGAATTTTGGTAGCTTGTATACATCAAACATCACATTTTACGAAAAATTGCAGAAAACAATTTCAGAAACATCTCAAAAATTGACCGAATTACGGTTGTTTTACAGTTTTCGTGGTGAGACCCAAAAATTTATATATTTTAGAACCTTGTCAAGATTATACTCATTTCAAAGCTCATAATTTGAGGATTTTGAATAGTTTTGAATTTTTGAAACTGCTCAAAAACTGACCAAGTTACGGTGGTTTTATTGTTTTCGTGGTGAGACCCAAAAATTTTGGGATCAAAAAATTTCCAAGTTTCCGGAAGCTGGTCGAAATTATACTCATTTCAAAGCTCATAATCTGAGGATTTCGAATAGTTCTGAATTTTTGAAATCGTTCGAAAACTGACCAAGTTACGGTGGTTTTAAAGTATTCGCGGTGAGACCCAAAATTGACCATTTCAAATCATTTTAACTTTTTCGAATTGCTCAAAAATTGACCGAGTTATGGTTGTTTCACAGAATCATCTAAAAATTGGCAGTTTAGATACTAAACTTCGTTGGACCTAAAATTATTGAAAATAGAAGAAATTTGATAGGGTTTTTTGCTGATATTGATAAAATATCATTTGTGATTCAGAAAAACCTGATCCCGAACTTCCAGGACCATTTTAACATTTCATCCAGACTGTCCAAAGTGGAAACTTCTGAAAATTGCCCATTTTTCGAAAAATTCGTCCCCAAACTTTTGGCCACTTTATCAAACTTCTAAACCAGTTTAGAGAAATATCAATCGAGAAAATGACCTTGGCGCTAAATGACCATTCCTTTAGGCTCCGCCCACTTTTTTCTCTTTTTAAGAAACCGTTTTGTTTAACTATTCTATCTTCTATTAACCCTCTTTCTTTAATTACAACCGTCTGATTTAGGATGTCTATTTTTTTTAAAAATTTTTTTTGATTCTTTGGAAATTTCTATTGTATAACCTATATTCATCTATTACTGTAGCAATTTGATGGGTTTGAAAGGTATGACTTTCAAAAAAAAAATATATATATATTAATTTTTTTTTCTTTTAGATCTCATTCTTTTTCTAAAATTTTGTTCAAAAACCGAATATTTTATTTGAGCTTTAAGGTAAGGCTTAATCTTTTATCAATATTTTAAAAAATGGCACCTGAAATTGAGCTTTCAACTTTAGGCCAATTTATCTCGGTTCCTATAAAAGATATCAAAAAGTTGTCAACTGATAAAATATCGCTGACATTATGATAAGTAATTTATCAGTTGCAATTTTTTTGCTATCTCCCACAGGAAATTAGATCTATGGGTTCGCAATTGAGACACCTTTAATGCACGTAGTTCTAGGTAGCATGCGATACTTTAATCGTCTGAACGCGTTGTTCTCAAAACCCTGATGTTTTTGTTTTTATATCGTTTTGTAGCTCTTTTTAAGCTCTACAAAATGATATAAACAAAAGTATATTTTAGTTGCAAGAGTTTGGTAAAGGAGCCGCTCTAAATACAGTAGCTCTAGGTGCCCCCCCCCCCCCTAACTTTCAACTTTGAATCGATTTATCTCGGTTCCTGTAAAAGATATCAAGAAGTGGTCAACTAGTAAACTGTTGCTGATAATATGATACGTAATTTTTAGGTGGACCACTTTTTGATATCTTTTACAGAAAACTAGATAAATCGACTCGAAGTTGAGGCTCCCTTCTTTAGACGGCATGAGCCGTATGCGATATACTTTAATCGTCTGAACGCGTTTTCTCAAAATCCAGAATTTATAGTTTTGTATATCATTTTGAAGTTCTGTCTAAGGTCTACAAAATGATATATAAATCCATGAATTTTACTATCAGTGATAAGAGTTTGAGCCGTTTAAAATACAATACCTCAAGGTGGCTACCATAAATACTTCAAACTTTGAGCCCGTATATCTCAGTTCCTGTGAAAGATATTAAAAATATGTCAACTGATAAAATGTTGCTGACATTATAATAAGTAATTTATCAGTTAACCACTTTTGATATCTGTTACAGAAAATGAGATATTTGAGATCAAAGTTTCTCCATTTTATACATATTTTTTCTTTGCAGCGAGAAACATTGATGAAGCAATTCAAAGACAGATTTGTATCATTGAAAGTTGTAACTTGCTCCAACCAAAAATAATTGTTAAGGTATATTTCATTTTTTCAGCCTCCAATTCCATTGCAGACCAAAAAGTTGGGGCATTTGAAGAGCTTCAAAACGGCAATTTATTTATTTTTTTGTTTTGACGGATGGGTCGATTCGAACTAAAGCTATCCCAATTAATTGTATTGAGTTTTTTTTTTGGAAAATTTGATAAATTCCTTTCTCTTAAAAGTGTGCATGTTTAAAGCAATGATAAATTACATTGAAATCCCGCAACTAAGAATCATATCATACAAAAAACCCAAAAAAAGGACACTTATCCCTAAATAAATAACAAAAAAGCAGGCGAAAAATTATAATTATCACTTCATGTACACTCTGACGACCATACTCTCCGTCGCTTCTGCCACGTCATCTTTTTCGGTTCTGAAGAGCTGTGCATGCTGGAATGCTTGGTTTCTCTCACCGCCAGACAGGGTGACCTGGAAATGATTCAAATTATTTCAAATTTCGCGCCAAATCTTTCAAAACTTACCGTAATTTTCAAAACTTCCGGTTTCGGGTCCTCAATTGTCAAGTTTCCACTGGCTGGAATTCTCATGCAAGTCTAAAAATTAGGTTATCGATTGGGGAATCTCAAATTTCAGATATTCACATCTCCTAAACACGCAATAATCAATATATTCCCATTTTCGAATTTTCGAATTCCCGCCATTCGAATTTCCACTTTTTCGATGGTTTTCTTTGAGTCAGTAGCGACTAGTGGAGCGAGATTGAAGTGCCAGGAAATCTGAAAAAATCGATAAATCCAAATAAAATGTTTAGAATTCGAATTATTACATTTCCCTCCTTTTTCCCATCCTCTCGACACAAATAAACCATTTTCCAGTCGTTTTCCACCTTTCTCTGGATATTATTACACTCAAATGTTTGTGCTACAAAGCCCTTTTCCGGCGTCTGCGAGTACGAATCTCGATTCACATCGTACGAAAATTCCACGTGGTTTGCGTCATTTTGGATTCTGAATTCGATCGGTTTTCCGAGCACTTGGGCTTCTGGATTGTCTCCCAACTCGCCACGAGCACGACGCCACTCTTTGGAGCCTGAAAAATCGGGGAAAATTCCATTAAAATCGATTTTTTAAGCGAAAAAAAAAAATCAGTTTCGAAGTTTTTACTGAGGCTAAGAACTCTCCGCTGTCTCCTCTCACCAAAATATCTCCCAGGTTTTTTTTGAGATAATTGTAAACATCTGGATCATGAAACCCATATGCCGAATAAGTATCTGCTACAGTAGAATTAAAACCTTCTTTTCCCAGAAGTGCCAGTGCAAACAACAGTGAGATTGGAGAGAACACATAGGATTCTTGAGTCACTACCAATTTAAGAATATCTATTCCAAAAGTTGTTTCTAAACCGGAAAGAGAGGCCATCTCTCAGAGTTCAGAACACAACTATACTGATTTTTTTCGCATTCTCGCAACATTTGTTTGCTTTAAACGTAAACAACAACTGTTGCAAAATCACACTTTATTATTTTGAATGGTGCCCTATGAAGATTGTCANAAGAGGACGGATCACGAGAAGGAATGTGATCTCTATTACTCATGCTT